GGTAGTTCACTCTTCTCATTGTCAACCTCCATATCCGTATTCGAAGAAACATTGATCGGATCATCTTCTGACTACACCACAAATGCATCCTTCTCACAACTTTGGCCATCGTTGTTCGTTGGGGAAGACATTGGGATAAATTTTAATTGTCAACACAGTTAATGTGGTTGATAAAACCTACAAAAAAAATAAAATAAAAAAATAAAATAAAAATTCTTTCGCACCATAAACAACCAAATTAAACTGACTTATTTTAATCCGAATAAAATTTTATAATAAACAAAAAAATCAAATTCCCATAAGTTTTACAAGTTCAGAATTGGTGCTTTACGCCATGGGCATAGGGGAGTATTGCTTAGCAAAAAAAAAATGGTAATTGGAGGAGACAGCGTAGAAGTAAACTAACAATTAACCAAGCAATTGAGTTCACGAAGTAAAGTCCAATCACCATATAGTTTTAAAAAGGCTAAAAATTGGTAATGGGAGGAAAAAAGATATCACCTCGCAAGAAAAGTTAATATTTATCAGCAAATTCATTGTAAGATTTTTCAAGAAATAAGATTACGACATTTAGAATATTAAGATTATAGAAACACGAATAACAAAAAAAAAAGCAGCAAACGCCATTAACAAGTAGCAGTCCAAGAAACAGAACCTCTAAAAAAAGAAAATCATATCAAGAATGAAAAGGAAAAACCCCAAGGATATGGTAATTTTAGTATCACCTTCTCCGACTTTGGAATCATTTTGTGACACATATTCTAAGGAGAGCCATTCTCTTTTGATGGCCTACAAATTAACATACTATGAATGTTCCGGTCGTATTATTTATCAAATTAGAATTAATTTTTTTGTTTCTTTTGGCATGATCGAATATAAAAATCACCGTTGATCATCATCATCAACAAATCTAAGTTTCACAAAAAAAAATTATAATCTAATCACGAATAGAAAGATGAAAGTAAACCTTCGTCAATAACAGACAATGAAAATCAAAATCACAAGGACAATAATAACGGTAATCCACGGCTTGTAGGCAATTGAGAATAAAAAGTACGGTAGACACAAACATCATTTCACAAAAGAAAAAATATATATATGCAAGAGTAAAGAATTTTAAAACCTGTTTTAGAAAGATTCGTGGTAAAACCCCGCACCTTTCTGTTATTTAAGTTCACCCGAAGACTCCGAGATAATATTAACTGCAAAATTTTTTATCATCATACTATTAACAAATGATTTAACTCTCATACATTTTTTTTTGTCACAAATAAAACCCAATAGCTATCTATCGTCATGAATTCATCATCAACACATAAGATACAGAAGCCATGAATTAACGAACATCTATAACATTCTTGATTGTGTATGGCTGAAAAAGACGACTCCACAAAGTAGTAGTACAAAAATAGAAGAGTTTACCTAATCCGGAAAAAGACTCCTCAAGAATCCCGTCTTTTGTATTTTTCTATCTTTCTGCAAATTGCGATCATGTCAGACAGCCCAACAACGGCAGCAGAGGAGCCATTTCTCGGAACCTCCCAAGGTGGCTTCTTTCCATCTTCATCTGAACTATTAACCTCAAAAAAAAAGAAAAAAAAGATCTAACTCTCATACATATAATGAAGTGATCGATGATCTTACCTCTTAAGTTACAGTACTTGCTAACTTCCTCATATGTCTTCAATTCCACGTTAAAGTAGCTATGTATTGATTTCAAGCTAGAGAATATATGAGTTTTGTGGTTGGTGGTTTCTTTTCTTTTATCTCCTGATGGGAGTAATCTCGATGTTTATAGGCTATAGTATCTATTAAATCCAACAAAATAACCCAATATCTAGGCCACTTTAATTTTCGGTTGAAACCGAATTTTAAATGATAATATCTAATCAAATTTTGTTCCATTATTTTAGCTTCCAATTTAATTGGTTGGATTTGATTTCTCAAAATTAATCCTTTGACTAAGTTTTCCCTCAAGGATTTAGTAAATAATTAAATCTAAAATTATTTTCCGAAAATTTACTAACGTTCATATGGATTCCCCCTAATTTATGAAGATCCCCACGTGATGGCGTAGAATTTTTAGTTGCATATTAAAAGGTGACCGGCGGAAAAAATTCGACAAATCCTGCCCATATTTCATAAGGACATTTTAGTGCATGTTAACTCTTTTTGTAATTCATTTAAACAGTAATTATTTCAATATTTTTTTCTTGATTGTGATTTTCAAATTAACATATATTTACTTAAGCTCTATGTTTACATTCCGTAAAACCTTTAAACAACGACTTTTTTCATCATTGACGTAAACCCAAAATGAAAATTAAGGAAAATGAGTGATTGATCTATTTAATTATAAGTGAAATAGAACTTTTTACTTAATTTGTAGAGATATTAAGTGATCAAGTCATATGTCTTCTTTGACGTTTTTTTTTTTTCAGAAAAAACAAAAAACGTAATAGTTTCACAAAAGGCCAACTTAAAATTCTTCTAAAAAAAAATGGCTAACTCAAAATTATAGACTTAACAAAACATCATACCAACTGTCAAAAAGACATAAATATCACTTAGTAAATAAATGTATTATAATACTGAAGTCCAGGTCCGGACTCATGTCTTATCGCCAAAAAGACATAAATATCCCTTAGTAAATGTATTATAATACTGAAATCTAGGTCCTGGACTCATGCTATGTCATGACCTCGGGTCTAGTTAGGACTTGTCAATAGTATATGGGCCTGTTTGTAGTTTTAGAAATTGTGAGTTGAACATCAATTTTAATTCAATAATTAATTAACTATGCCACGAGACACTGTTTTGTCACTGTTTTGTTTTGTTTTTTTTTTTTTTTGGTTTCTTTTTTTATGGCTGTTCAAAATTCGTTCCATTGCAATAATACAAAATTAAAAAAATAAAAAATAAAAAACGGGGATAACAGTTTAATCCAAAAATATATATGCTAATAACCTTATATTTTCCTTCAAAAAATGGTTCATTCCATCACGTATATTAATCCCCCACGATCTGTTAAACCACTACATACGGGTATGATTCATCCAGCAAACTTAAAAAGAAATAGTAGTTAAATTTTGATCATCTTCAAAGAATATAACTAACTACTAATGGTTAAAAAATTAAACAAACTCTTTGTGGAACGGTACTACCCTTACTCTGCAGACATCTCCTGATCACTTTGTGCGTTGTCTCAGATTCAGTCAACCGACATATCTTCTAAGATTTTCTAAATTTTTTCTTCTTTTTTTTCTTTTTCCGCCGGCTTCAGTCAACTCTGTTCTTTCAAGTATTGTAGTACTGTCAATATAAAGCGCTTTTAACAAAGGTTGACTAAATAAATGCTGTCACTTAATTAGAGCATCCACAACGGTTTACACTATTGTTAGTGTAATGTCATAAATTTTCAATAATATACTTTTATTCCACTTTTCACTATATTGGGTTACCCCGTAAAAGTAAAATAAAATAAAAGCATTTTAATATTATCATAAATTCCATTAAAATCATTTTGATAGTTTGTACCATAATTAGAATTTTAGATTTTGATGACTCGTTGAATATGTTTTTGTCACACTTTTCGTGGCACTAATGTTGTCAAAAATTGCCCGGTTTTTGTCAATGAATTAGTCGACCACAAGTTAAGGTAAAGAATATCACAGTTCCATACACGAAATTAGACAGTGTCTATTATTTACTGGACAACACAACATAGCAACTGATTACTAATAGAGAAAAACCGGAAAATGAATACATGAAACCGAAAATTCCAGGCCTATGATCAAACCGGAAGTCTTAAACTACTACTTTAAAAACTGATAGTGCAAAAAGAACTTGAATAAAAGGATATATGAACATTATACAGCACCACCTTCTGCAATGCAATTCAACTGTACCTAAGCTAAGGATGAGAGACCATGTCTAGTGTAAAGAAAAATCAAGTGTCTGCTTTGAAGAAAGGTTTAGCTTCCAGGATCCTGATGCTCGATTTCAGTAGAAAAACTGAACTATTTATATCTAACATGGAAAGATTTCTATTTCAGAAAATCCTAGGCGTCAAGAACTTCTGCTATGGAAAACCTTGTCCTACAACCGTCTTGATAGGCTTTCGGCATCTAGCCCTCCTCTAATACTTAAGAATGAGTAATCTGACCATAGAACCTTCATCAAGCCATTGTTGTGGAAGTCCTGATAATGCTATCCTAACACTCTGTACAACTAACAGTCTACAACAGCAAACTAGTTCTTGGCTTCGATGATGGAGTGAGCTTCTAAGTCTGGACGGAAGAGGCAATCCTTTCCTTTATTGTATATGTCAAACAGTAAATCAATGTAGTGAATTGCAAGTTCCTTACATCGCAAAAGAACACTTCGATCTTCTTGTTGCACTTCTGAAACATTTTTTTTTGGCTTGTTCTAAGGGTGCCCGTCGTTAAGTACTCAGCCAAAGCCTTCAAACTGAAAACAATAAAGCATCAGTACATTCCTAATTAAGACAATGATAGGAAACAAAATTCAGGACGTTAGCTGAACAAGATAGGTTTTTAGCCTTTTAGCTAGGAGTGAATTTTAAGCTCACGGTTTGAAATTAATTTCAAATATATCCTCGATTTTGCTATTTACCTGATTAAGGAAAGGAAAATTCTAATTCCATCTTAGAATAAAATGAAGTTATGATCACACCTCATTACAGCGAATCTCCTGGAAGCAGTGGGCTGGTGTTGAATTTATTAAAAGAAATTTTATATCGATAGAGAGCACAAACGGCATTCATGCAAGGTTCAAAATCATTCTGAAAAGCTGAAAGCATTTCAGCTGCGACTTCCACCCTATCTCCTTGTATCTTTTAAACTTCTCCAACTTATGCGCCATGTAAGACTCAAAACACATACCACCTAGGTCACTTCCATTTGAGGAGCCATCATCACCATCATCAACATCATGCACTCCTCTTTCGTTTCTGAGCTGCAACTCTTTCAGCCTCAAAATCACGGATATAAATGATAATTGGAGATTGAAGGTTTTCTAGTAACTGGAACAAGTGATGTAGCTGGCTCACTGGAGCTCCTCTCTTCAACATCTAGCTCCGAGGCACCGCCAATTTCATCAGTACAACTAACAATTCGAGAGGTATAGCCTGAAATGAGTGCATAATAGTGAAAAAAAAAACTAGGAGAGGCAAAAATAAACAGAATTCAAAGTTTTGAATAGAGAAATCTCTTCTGTGTATACGGCAATATCATGTCTTGCAGATAAGGTGAAACATATTAAGTTCTGCAGCACCCCACCAAAAATGCTAATAAAATACAAATCATGACCTACCTTCAAAGGGAAAATCCATTTGAGGAGAGGCTGTCCTCGGCAAAACAACTACCTCATTGCAGCCAATAGAAAATGCCTTCACGGTTGTCTTCTTGATATTTTTATTCCGGTCCATCTTGCAGCTTTTTGACGCCAAAGCCGGCATTCTCACTTTCCAGCTGGCTGTCAAGAAGTTCATTATGCACATCTTCCTTGCCCTCAGAGGCCCTTCACCACCAAAATCAGAATCGAGCACGGCATCATACAAAACTCCTTTAGCAAAGCTACCAACTGCAGCACTCTGTGTTCATATAATAATAACTAAAGTACAGAGAAATGATGAATCTTCAAAGAGAGAAACATTAACAAAGAGTGAGAAAAAGTAATCAGAAGAGAACTTGAAATGTATTGGCACTTTACAATCCAATACTTATCCTATAAACCAGAAAAACTCAGATCCCCGAGTTATACGCAGACATGGTAGTTCAAGGTAATAGCACAACCTATGTCATTTTCTCAGACAATTAAATTTAGCCTGGATATAAATCAAAAGCCATCCGAGAATTAAAAGAGTCAGTTTCAATACTCAAACCTAACTGAAGCTCAAAGGAATCTTCAGCACAGGTTAGTCAAACTCCATTTCAATGCATTCAATTTCCGATTCTCATTTTCTTTTCCTGCAAAGCAAATATAATAAATGAGGAATAAGAATAAATGAACACATATATTACAAGGCACTGTAACTACCCTACATCATATAGAGTGTTGGATGAGTATGATGGCAACAAAAGATTCATATAACAAACCTGCCACTGTGGTTCCTCGACAAATGGATTTTCACGCACAAATGTTACAACATCTTCTGCCTTAGCTAATTGGTTTAGATATGAGCATAAATCACCATGTATAGCTGTTTAAAATTGAAAATGTGTGAAAATATTATTAAATAAATAATCACAAAGAAAAAAGTTATAAAACTTTATAAATCTCACCTAAACGTTTATCAAATTCCTTGTCTATATAAGTAAATGTAATTGGATGTATTACATTGCCAGCCTGTAAAATATCATAAAGAAACACGACGTATTAAAAATAATAGTTACACAGAAAAAAATAGGTTAGATAGTAAAAAGAAAAAAATACCTACAAGATTTCTCACGCTTTTTTCGACGGAATCGTCCACAAGTAAAGTATTGCTCTCATCAAATTCCCCAAAATTCATTGCCCGTAAATCTACCCAAATACGAGTCAAATCTTTACAAAAAACTTGGTTTACTTTACGACATTGTTCTTGACTCTGTAGACAATAAAAAACGTAACCATTCAGAACTATGAAGAAAGAGTGAGGCTAGTATAAAATTATTCTAATCTACGAATACGTGCTCTTCACCACATACATGTTTTTTAATGAATAATTTATTTAAACTTACTATTTTAAAGCTTGTGTAAAATTCAAAACTTTCTCAATAATACAAACTTACATATCTACAAATGAATCTATCACGAGCACTTAGAAACAGATTTTGCAAAGAATCTAGATTTTCCCTGCAAACAAAGTAGCAGAAAATCAAAGTTTTGAGACATTGAGTTTGCATGGATATAAAAAACAAGTATACTTTTAAATCATACCACTTTCTTGATGACCATATGGCAACATGAAATCGTTCGAAGCAAAATTCAAGGAATTCATCACTGTATTTTCTCTTGAAAACTGAAATGAAAAATATAGCGGATAAGTAAGCAAAATTGTTTTTGAGTTAGATATGATATTCAATTACACAAAGTAGAATAATCTTACCATAAGAATGCATCATTACATAGTCACATTCTGTATGCAAATTTAGGCCCAGAACACTCTGTTTATGCACCACATCAACGAGAACTCCATTCAAATCAAGAATCAATAACTTCTTTTGAAACTATTTCTCAACATCTCTAGCCAAATCAGCGGGCATCAAATCAAGTTTTTCCCAGTTATTCATTCCATGCACATCTCTATGACTCTCAAAACCCGATACATTATTCTCCATCACATCCTCATCATCAACTCTAATCCACTTTTGGTCATTTATTTGCATTCGCTAATCAAATATATCATTTCCCAATTTTTGTCTCCAAATTTTAAAATAATCTTTTCTCCCATTACCTCTTGGAGCCGGAGCACGAACAAATTTTCTTTATGAACTCTTCACTCAGGTTTGATATAGAATTTTCATATCCCTACTCACATTTTCATCAATATGAAGTTGAACCTTTCCATTGTATGGGAGATAATACATGTGGTTTTCAATACAGAACAAAGGGACAACGGCTAGTTCCCTATGTATTTGATACTTCAAATAGCATGGCATAGTACTTGAATAGGGCATCAAAACAATATTCTCCTACAAAAATTAAATAATAGGTATTATGCATGAAACAACTTTTCAAATAAAAGTAGTCTACTAGAAACAAACTTAAACAACAAATATTCGAGGAATAAATGTGGTAGGAGAAAGCAGCATCTAATATACTGATAATAAGTTTAGGGGAAACAATATTGAGAAAACAAACTACCATGTATTATAAAACTACACAAAATGGAAGTAATACGGTGAACAAAACTTACAGCAGTTAACCCATTGATACATTGTTGGATAAGTTCTGTTGTAATGTCACTGCGAGTTTTGTGCATCGTCTTCCATAATATTTCAGCCCATCCAATAATCAATGGAAATTCTTTCGGGTCTTCACGTAAATCGAACAAATTCTTCAAACTGGGTAAATGTTCCAGAGCAAAAACCTAAAAGAATAATAAATGCCAAAAAGAAAACTAGAGGTTAATAAAGATTATGAAATACAACATGATAATCATCAATCCAATAATAATAATAATAATAATAATAATATATACCGTCAGCGCCGACATCGACCCACCAATTCTTTGTTGACTTGTTTCTTTACAAACCTGCAAACTCTGATGTATTTCCACAAGACACGCTTCTCCCCAAGCATAATCATTTATCTCATCAAGGTTTATCAAAAAATTTCCATACAACCCTTTTACATGTTTTGGGCTAGAGTTCGGGAAAACAAGAGTTCCCAACAAAAGTAAAATTGTAGCCCTTACTCTAATTACAAAAGGTTGATCACTCATAGCAAGTTCTTTTAACTTTTCCAACACAAAACCCTTCTTTTCATAAACCCCTTCTATGTTAGGAAATAGAATTTTTGCAATATCTTCTCCATGTGCTTCTATTGTCACTACAGGTTTACCCACTATCCTCAAACCAGTAATGTATAAAATATCCCTTAAACCATTCACAAGAGCTATCCCCTAACCTAAAGGTAAATGTTTTCGTATCGTAACCATCAACCAAAACAGAAATTAAGGGTTTACAATGAAAAAACTGATGATTTGCCAATTTGAGGAGGTTCGCAAAGCCACTCCCATGTAAAAATTGTCTAACATCAAGTCCAACAACAAAACCATTTAACATTGCAGAATGCTCATTCAGCATAACAGACTTCGTGTTGACCTATCATTGACAAACAAAAGGAGCAAAAACAAAATCTAAGATGAATTTCCCGTAATGATTTCAAAAAAAAACATGTTCTAACATCAAGAGGAAAATGCTTCACAAAACAGGATGTTAAAGCTTCAGTAAAGTTAAAAATTTCAGATTCGGTCTGTCAAATTCAAATTCAATTTTTCGGCAATCTATAGCCTCAAATTAGTATCTCAAATTATAAGGCTCCCTATTATTCCACTATAGCTCTGTAAACTCAGATTATAAGGTTCCCTCTTATTGCTGCTACAAGTCTAAAAGGTCAGATTACTGTGATGATGTGAAAGTAATTAGTTTAGCTACAAAATTAGACAAACGTAGACCTACTCAACTAAATTTTAAGCTTATCAAATCTCTAAAGGTCCACAAAAGCTAAGATGGAGCAAAATCACTTTCAAAAGCTAGTTCCTGCCTTTTCCTAAGTTCAGCCAGCATTATGGGGGTTCAATTAAGTAGTTTTCCGAACATAATCATGCATACGGTACAAGGAGATTATGAAACCTCATTATCCTCTTTAAAAGTGTATAATAGTGACATGAGCCTTTGCCTCCCTGAACCTACGACTCCCTATTCTATCATCTTTTTTTTTTTTTTTAACAAAACCACTTAATCAAGCAAGGGTTCCACATGCAATCGAAAAAATTAATGAAGGTAGAAGCAAAAGAAGAGCTACTCTTCCAGAATTCTTTTTACCATTTAATCTAAGAATTTCGAATTTAACTCACTAGAAGGAGATTAACATATTACCTCGATGAACGGAAGATTTAAACTATGTTCCCTCTTTGAATTGAATCCCCAAATTGATAGCTATAAGCTCTCTGTTCCTTTTCTTTCTCAAAGCTCCACGTGTTCTCCTTTTCCCCTTCAAATAATTCAAATGGTCTGTTGTCAACGCGTGGGATTAAAAGGTGGTGGAAGTTTGGGCGGTTTGAAAATGGAGGATGAGTGGTGAGGGTGCTGTTTCACGCCGTTTCGGAGGAGTTTGGGCGAAGAAGAGACTAATTTTTGACTTGGGTTTTTTTTTTATCATTAAATTCTTGACTGTTGTTTTTTATCCCGTTCGAGTTTCACCTTGACTCTTACTAAAAAGACATAACTATCCAGTCCAATCTCCTTCACCAAAGGTAATACTACTGGAGTCCAAGTCCTGGACTCCTTCTATTCGGGGGTAATTTGGTCATTTTGGCGATGAGATCGGATTTGTAACTTGAATTTTTTTTTTTTTTTGGGGAAGAGGGGGATAATTTGTTGATAATTTGATTTACATCTTTATAATATCCCATCTCCAAAAATTATGATGCTTATACAATGTTAAATTTGTACTCACTCCGTCCCAAGATAATTAGTGCTTTACACGACATCTCTATAGTAATATTTCTTTATTTGATTTCCCTAAAAGATACTATCTCCGTCTAAAAAAAATAGTCCACATTAAGTTTGTAAATTTGTAGTAAAAACAGTACAAAACTCAAAACTCAATGTAGAAATGTTTTTGGGACGGAGGAAGTAGTATACTACATTTTATACATAATGACGGAGTGATAAACATAAAACAAAATATTACTAATATAAATTAAAATTATGCAATGTTTAATGTCAATGTGTATTGTTATTTTAAATACCTTTAGAATGATTTTCGATTTTCAGTCCATAGCTACATTTCATCATAATTTATTAGAGATTGTAAATTTCATATTAATGTATTATACTTCGGCAATTAATACATTCGTTAAATATTTAGCAAATTCCGACCATTCACTTGGTCAAACTAGCACCACACTTAATTAATTTAATTTTCTGGACATTTAATTAATAGCTGCTAACTTAATTAATAAGCCTAATTTATTAATTAAAATAAAGCATACATTTAATTTTTAAAGATATTAAATAAAAAAACATAATGAATTTAATACATAAATTAAAAAAATCAGTGTAACGAACAAAAAGACATAAATATCCAGTCCAATCTTCTTCACTATAGGTAAATTGGAGTCCAAGTCCTGGACTCCTTCTATTCGAGGGTAATTTGGTCATTTTGGCGATGGGATCGGATTTGTAACTTGAATTTTTTTTTTTTTGTGAAGAGGGGGATCGGATTTGTTGATAATTTGATTTACATCTTTATAATATCCCATCTCCAAAAATTATGATGCTTATACAATGTTAAATTCGTACTCACTCCGTCCCAAAATAATTAGTGCTTTATACGACATCTCTATAGTAATATTTCTTTGTTTGATTTCCCTAAAAGATACTATCTCCGTCCAAAAAAAAAAAATAGTACACATTAAGTTTGCAAATTTGTAGTAAAAACAGTACAAAACTCAAAACTCAATATAGACAATGTTTTTGGGACGGAGGAAGTAGTATACTACATTTTATACATAATGACGGAGTGATAAATATCAAACAAAATATTACTAATATAAATTGAAATTGTGCAATGTTTAATGTCAATGTGTATTGTTATTTTAAGTACCTTTAGAATGATTTTTGATTTTCAGTCCATATTTACATTTCATCATAATTTATTAGAGATTGTAAATTTCATATTAATGTATTATATTTCGGCAATTTAATACTTCCGTTATGTATTTAGCAAATTTCACCCATTCACTTGGTCAAACTAGTACAACACTTAATTAATTTAATTTTCTGGTAATTTAATTAATAAGCCTAATTTATTAGTTAAAATTAAGCATGCATTTAATTTTTTTAGATATTATTTAACAAACATAATTAATATAATTTTATATTTGGTTATTCTACATAACTTAACAAAAATCAGTAAAGACATAAATATCCAGTCCAATCTCATTTACTAAAGGTAATAATACTAGAGTCCAAGTCCTGGACTCCTGCCTATAGGGGTAATTTAGTCATTTTAGCGATGGGATTGGATTTGTAACTTGATTTTTTTTTTTTTTTGTGAAGAGGGGGATCGGATTTGTGGATAAACCGAATTACATCTTTATTTTAAGTATCTTTAGAATGATTTTCGATTTTCAGTCCATATTTTACATTTCATCATAATTTATTAGAGATTGTAAATTTCATATTAATGTATTATACTTCTGCAATGTGATACTTTCGTTATATATTTAGCAAATTCTGGCCAATCACTTGGTCAAACTAGTACCACACTTAATTAATTTAATTTTCTGGTAATTTAATTAATATATGCTAATTTAATTAATAAGCCTAATTTATTTATTAAAATTAAGCATGCATTTAAATTTTTTTCGATATTATATAACAAACATAATTAATACTCCCTCCGTCCCATAATTATTGTCCGCTTTGCCCAAAAAATTTTGTCCCAAAATTATTGTCCAATTTGGCTTTTTATGGATTAAGTTACACATTTGTCCTTAGTAAAAAACATTATCCATAAAATCTTAATGGTTATACAATTACTTATGTAGGGGTATATCTGGTTGTTTAAGGTAAAATATAGTTAAGTTTGACCAAAAATAAAATTTTTCATTTTAGTAAAATTGGACAATAATTATGGGACGGAGGGAGTATAATTTTGTATTTGGTTATTCTACATAACTTAACAAAAATCAGTCGAACTAACGAAAAGACATAAATATCCAGTCCAATCTCATTTACGAAAGGTAATAATACTGGAGTCCAAGTCCTAGACTGCTGCCTATAGGGGTAATTTAGTCATTTTGGAGATGGGATTGGATTTGTAACTTGATTTATTTTTATTTTTTTTGTGTGTGAAGAGGGCGATCGGATTTGTTGATAAACAGATTTACATCTTTATTTTAAGTACCTTTAGAATGATTTTCGATTTTCAGCCCATATTTTACATTTCATCATAATTTATTAGAGATTGTAAATTTCATATTAATGTATTATACTTCGGCAATTTAATACTTCCGTTATGTATTTAGCAAATTCCGGCCATTCACTTGGTCAAATTAGTACCACACTTAATTAATTTAATTTTCTGGTAATTGAATTAATATATGCTAATTTAATTAATAAGCCTAATTTATTTATTAAAATTAAGCATGCATTTAATTTATCTTAGATATTATATAACAAATATAATTAATTTAATTTTGTATTTGGTTATTCTACATAACTTAACAAAAATCAGTCAAACGAACGAAAAAACATAAATATCCAGTCCAATCTCATTTACTAAAGGTAATAATACTGGAGTCCAAGTCCTGGAATCCTTCCTATAGGGATAATTTAGCCATTTTGGCGATGGGATTGGATTTGTAACTTGATTTTGTTTTTTTTTTTTTTTTTGTGAAGAGGGGGATCGGATTTGGGTCATTCTGCTGATTAAAATCCGATTTTTTCATATCGGGTTTAAATCTATATCCGATCCCAATCATAGAATCGACTACGTAATTGAGTAGGCGGACAATGGATTGAATTCATAGCCGGAGTTTGGCGATTTAACCCACTTCGCCGATTCCGTCGATGGTGCGGCTCGTAGTTGGGTTCACAAATTCTGATATTGGATTTCAAACTACCAAATCTCTCTCATTCGACTTCAAGTATTAGAACATTTAGGGCAAAGCGATCTCAGGCTGTCGGTGACAGGTGGCTGCTGCTTCTGTTTTCACTTTCAGAGCCTTTTTTCGGCAGCATCAAGCTTAAATATCTTAGGGTATTTTTCTGCGAATTTCCTCATTGGACTTTTAAATTTTGATATTTTATCCGAAAAAAACTATTGACCTATAGGTGCAGTTGCTTGTTTCACCATCATTTCATTTATTGGTTTTTATTTGTCGGATCTTTATGTGTTTGCAATTGGAAATTGTATTTGGGTAGTATGTGCATATCTGGTTTTGAGTTCCTGTTGTATTTGGCTTTTTCTTTTTTTTTCCTGTAAATGGTTTTGTGTGTGCTAAGACGCGAAAATGCAATTTTTGGGATGTTGAATTGGTCAGGTGAACCATTTTGGACTAGCTTTTGTTTTTTATTTTTCTTTGGGAATATCAATTTGGAATTAAGGAAGCTGAATTGAAATGTTAAAAGACATGAAAAAATGTGGTTTTTGGAAATGAAAATTAGAAGTGTGGTGAGCAGCAGACTGCTAAAGTTTTTTGGGATATAGGTCTTGTATCTGTCACATAATCAATGTAGTTGCTTATCGGTATTGCTTATCGATATGTCCATTTTGATTGTTCAATTGTGAGCTTTTTGATGTTTTATTGTTTTAATGTATTCGGGGTTCAGATCATGGAATGATGAGATATTTCTGAGGTGAATTGCATAATAATACATACTGTTTACAACTTGGGCTGTCAGATGGGTTGTTATTGTTGATTTTATTAAATGCGATTAAGATGATTCACTTCCTTTTTTTTTTTGGTTATGATTTGGATTAGGTAGCGGTTCTGATCCTCGTTCTGCAAAATTTCTGATTATCGAATTTGCTTAGAGTGAGTATGTATCTGCCAGAGATAAAAGGCAAGCCATTGTATCTGGTTTAACTGGAAGTGTTGTTCAGCTCGATTTCTCCCCTTCACTTTTTGGTCAATTGAGAAGAATTATCTCTGTGTTAACTTTTTGGTCAATGGAAAAAAATTATCTGTATGTTTACTTGAATTCCCTTACTGTGTATAATAATGATAATAATTGTTGGATAATGAGAGAATATGTTGTCAAGAGTTCTTGGACCAAACTATTCACAATTAGAGGACTAGTAATGCCTCTCCCCATCAGGATTTCTGATAACCTTGTTTTGGTTTTAAGGTCACACAACTTAAGCAAGGAGAACTACTTCAAAGTGATTAAGGGAAAGACTGCCCTATTTGAAGAAAAGAATTACAACTTCAGGCCTGAGGCTAGTGAAGAAGCTAAACGATACTACTTGAGAGGCAATGTCAGGGAAAAAGTTAATTCAAGAGCCAATGCTAGGGGAAAGATTAACTCAGAACCAGTTATCATGTGCATTTCTGATGGTCCTCTTGTGTATACGAAGAGTTTGGCATCCATTGATTTGATATAGCAGGTACGAACTTACGCCATCAGCTGTTTGAACATTTTACCAGTGGTTTAGTCTTTGTGTAATCATATTCCTGCAGTATTTTTCTTGAGTGGATTGTTATTATCATGTATGATAATTACTTGTTTTTTATTCAGGTGTATTTGCAGATGAGTCAAATTGACAATGGTTCTCAATCGCATTTTCTGTCAGATTATCAAGACGAACATTTATTGCTCTGATAGGAGAAAGCTGATTTTACTCCCAGCAGCACTGCTAATGGAATTCTTCTGTTGTTTTAAGGAAAATGAAGGATGCTTTGCTGCTTCTAAAAGAAAGTTGGATTAAATATGCAATCTTATTGGGGTTTCCCCTCTGTTAAGCATCTCGGAATTTATTTTCAGTTGTTCTGGAACGTCGTTTCTGACTTGATTGATGTAGTGAAAATGCTTTCTCTCAGAGCAAATTGTTGTAAATGAAGCAAATTTTACTTTAAAAAATTCAAAAAACCTTTTGTTTATTTAGAATAACGAATCACTCAGTTCATGCTGTATGCAATATCTATAAAGCCCGTAGAAGTAAGTTTTAAATATCACACAAACATGCCTGAGCTATGATTTGTCGATGTTTTATCACTTTAATGCATGCTGGCATCCAAAGCATGCAAAATTGAAAGCAAATGTCTCATGAAACTGAAAAATCTTACACGAATTAAATATGCACTATCCAAGTTATAAAATATCAGCATCAAACCCCAGAAACTAATAGAGCAAAATGTCAGCTGAGTTCGTTTTTTAAGTAAGAGCTCAGGATTCCTTTCCTTAATAACTGATTTCCAGAGCAGCATTTAGTTTTTTTTTTTTTCTGCAGACTTTAGTGAAAGAACTAAAGAAAAATTTGGATGAGCATAGTGGAAGCAGCTTGAAAGTATGAGATATACAATGTAAAAGCCAAGGTCATATTCAAAATACATTTTTCATCAAACCACAAATCCAATTCGTGAGCCATCAGAACCGTTATAAACTAGGATGAACAAAGAATAGCTTCATGTAAGGAATTTAAGAAAAGAAGTTCAGACTTCAGGAGGAAAATGCTCCCTAAAACAGAACATCAGAACTGAATTTCATAAATTTCAGATTCTCTATCAAGTTCAAATCTAATTTTCGGTCAATCTATAGCTCCAGTTTACAATTCGTGATTCTGTAGTAAACTCCAATAAACATAGAGAGTATTCACCAAAAGAAGTCTCACAAAACAGTTCAAGAAAGAAGAGAAACGATTCTCTGAAAACAACATCGTAGGAGAGATTTTTAGAAAGTGGTTATCATGTTCAAATCAAGTTTTCGGTCAACTACGAATGCGTTTTACAATACGTAAACAATGCATTAAACTACACTAAATGAAGAAGATTATCATAAAAGCAAATTCTGAAAAACAGTTCTAAAGTTTTGAGAAACAGACCCTTCAATAGAAGGAGCCCAATCTGATTTTCTGCATTTTCATAAAGCAACCAGTGAACTCATCTTGTTTTGATCAAATTTTGAACGATTCGTAAAGCCGTGTAGCAAACCATAAAAGTCAAAACAGACCTGAGTACCCCGGATAGAGTTTGATTGAAAGATATGTACAAGGACCATAAAACATAATAATCGGCACCTCACAACTTCCACAGTTGCTTAAAACATGAAAACGGCAGTGGCATGCATTATCAGGGACAACAAGGGAAGATTTTTGAAAGCCTTTCAAGAGAGAATAGGTTATTGCCCTGTTTAAAGGGCTGAACTAAAAGAAATTCTACAGAGCATGAGAATTGCTAAGCAGTTAGGCTTATTAATAGGCTTATTAATAGGGGGGGAAAAAAAAGGCAACTGGAAAGTGGCAGACAACTTTTCCGATAGTTAAGTGAAATAGTTTTTGATGTGTCAATTTTAACAAATAATTTTTAAACATTTTTATCCGGTAAACAACCTCTTTAACAGGTTTTACTTAATTTTTTAAAAAATTTATTTCAATAAAATTTATTTTGAAATATGTTAGCATGTTACTCACCACATGAATTAATTTTGTACCCTCAATTCTGATTGGTTGAAAAAAATACGGGACGACTCCGTATAAATGAGCTACGGGACTCTAAAAAATCCCTATATATATATATATATATATATATATATATGTATATAGGCTACATCAGGTCGCCTCTAAAGAGAAGCCAATCAAAAGCTAATTTTTGTACTACTGAATCCGGAGATGATGCCAAAATATGTAACCCAAAACTACACTAGAAACCTAATTTAGTGAGGGAGTCCGCTATCTCGTTCCCCTCTCGCTTAATAAACAAGGGTTCCACTTACCATGGAAGATTAAGAAGCCCTTTGATTCCACGTAGGACATTACTGGAGGCAAGGAAGATATCATCCTCAGATATATGCTTAACCGCATTAATGCTATCCATCTGAAGTTGTACTCCTTTGAAACCCAGCTGCCAAGCAATTTGCAAACCGAAATATGCACCCCAAAAATTCGACTTTTGCAAATCTAGTTAAATAAGGAAGAATGGAGATTATTTCTGGTGTGATGTCCAAGAAGAATGATTTCTGGAGTGAAACATAGCATGTATTGGGCCGGGCCGTATCTTTGTGATGAATGATTAAGTGATTCTACACATTGTTAAGTAATTTTGGCACCTTTTTCGTATTTATTAATATACAAGATTATTTTGGACTTACTTATGAAGTACTTCCAATGAAAATATAAAATATATACTTTATGATCTTTCATAAATAACAAAAAAAAAAAAAAAAACCAAGATATGCAGATTTAACATCTAATAAACAGCATATAACTAGGAAGACCTTTTAAATACCATACCCCCCCCCCCCAACACACACCCGCACCCACAAGTTATCATTTAACTCCACCAACAGCTCCGCCTCTTCCACCCTATGGCCACATGAATGTAATCCACAAGCATTGACCAACTGAAACACATGAATCAAGAACGTAGATTTGTCACTTGACTCCAAACATAGTAGTATAAACTTACCATGACTGGACCCCGGCCAGAAAACACATTAAGTCGTTATTTCTATTTAATTTACAATTCACAAACAGGGAGTGCTTTTTCCTCATACAGGAAGAGTTTATTCTGCAGCCCTACTCGCCCCCCTAAGGTGGAGTACTTTATTTGGTAGCCCCGCCTCACTTAGTGCCTAGGTTACTCCCAGAGTAGCTGCACTTGGCTGCTGCTCCCTCTCTGTTTGCTGCTCCCTCTTTGCTTGTAGTCAGAAAAGATTCTCCACAGCCACAAAGCCCTGTAACATTCGGGTTTTCGAAAATAAACCTAGCCCTGTCCAAAACAAAAGTAGCGTATTCGGATGATGCCAAGTCAATACCAATATTCCGACTCCAAAAATCGTCGACAAAGTGTACACACTAACAAAGGAAAGACAACTCATAAATATTCTCTAGTCAGCCATGTATAAAGTCAATACAAGTACTCCAAATCCGTAACAACGATAGTTTCCTTTTCATAAGTATTTGACATTTGCACGGCATATTTTGGGGTGGTCCAAGTTTAAGTCCTTAGACAAGATTAGTCATGAGACTAGTTTAATCTCAAACAAGGCCACCTAAATAAATGTAAGTCAACAAAGTCGTACAAAAGTGTCAACAACCTACAAGTCACCACTTCACTAGTGACTTCAATTATATGGGGTATGATAACCTTTATTTTGGAAATTAAATTATTCTGGTGGGGCGATGGGAGTTTAATGAATAAATAAGATAATAATGCTGAAACAACGAGAGATCTTCGATATTTTGGAAAATCAGGAATTAAAATGAATGGTGAATGCTCTCTCTACACTCTCCGATCGGAAATGATTCAGATCTAATATCAGTGATGAAGTTCCCTAGTGAGGTCGTGGCAGAACTGCAGCAGCAGAGTGGGGGTGAAAAATGGTAGTTCTAGAAGAATGGTAGCTGGTGAAGTTTATAGGCGACGTGAATTTAAAAAAACACTGATGTTGCATATTAAGAGGTATTCCATGAATATTGGGGCTAGGGATGTATTTGGATAGTCATTAATAAAAAGTACTGATGTTGCATATTAAGAGGTATTCCATGAATATTGGGGCTAGGGATGTATTTGGATAGTCATTAATAAAAAGTAATTGTAACTTTGATTGTTTAGCCAAAGATAAGTTAGTAGTTTCTCCAAACAAGACATTCATTCAGGGATAGAAAGAGTATTACGTTAGCCATAACTGGGACTACCATACTAACCTAAATAACCAGACTAGCCTAAATTCACTCATTTTGTAATGGGATTAAAAAAAATTTTAAAAAAAATACTAAACCTTGCATTGAGATGCATACCTTATGAGCAAGTGGTATGTAACTAATCAGACATCGTAAGAATTACCTTGTAAAAGTACTTTTGTGGAGTATTAAGTATAATAACCTTTTTCAAGATATTATAAATATTATGGTGGTCATAACTGGGTGCCTATAAGACTGCCCTAAATTCATTAAATTTATATAAGAAACAATACCAAATATATTCCTGAATTCGTTGGGGTCTAGAAGTCAAGATGTACACAGCCTTATCACTATAATCTCTATTACCCAGACACAACACAACACGACACGAGTATGAGATTCGGATCTGATTAGAACAGTCGAGACTAGTGGCCTTTGAGTTGGGAGGATCTTGAAGTGGCTTCAAACAAATAAAAGAAAGAAAGAAGGGTAACAGGAGGAAAACAAAGAGAAGGAGAGGAGACGTTCAGATGAGGGAAGGAGAGATAAGAGGGAGGAGGAGGCAGCCGCTGCCAAAGGTAGAGAGAAGATAGAAATTGGGCTTAGTTACTAAAATCATTGTATTATTATAATGAGCTTACACCCTCCTAATTCCCTACAACACCAAAGTAGTTATAATTAGGCTCCATAATTATCTACAGTTAAATTAGTTGCAAGAAGCATCAGCGTACTTGTACCTTAGTCTAAATCCAATTCATACTCACGTACCCCTAAATTTACAAGGTTTAAAGGTCTGACATCCTGTATCCCACCCAACACGCACCCAAGTCCAGTAACGTAGATTATATTTCAATACCGAGAGACGGGTATAGACTTCCAGCAACTTAATTAAAATTAAGAAGCCCCCGAAATTTAATTGAGTCATTTTGATCGAGACCATTGTTAGATCAACACTATAGGAATGAATTATCAATGATAAATTTTCCAATTCCATTTGCAATTAACATAAAATTCACTCAAATTATAATGATAGATAAAACAACAACAACAACATTACACCTTTTTCTTACTACGTAAGGTCGGATACATGAATCATATAGTGTCGTCATGCTCAATCAATACTAACATCATTATTCAATTTTAAATAACCATTTTAATAATTACTTTTCATCAAGTTTTATGAAGTCTATCTCTACCCCTATTAATTTGATTTTTTGACTTTATACTTTCTACCCTTCTCACACGGGCCTCCATAGGCTTCCTACACACAAGCTCGAACCATCTTAAACACGATTCTCTTTTTTCATTCTCTGGCATTAACCTACTTTCTTTCTAATATTAATTTATAACTTTATCGAACCTAACATGCCAGCACATTTAATTTAACATTACCATCTCTGTTACTCGCATATTTTTTATTATTATTTTCACACTTAGTAACCCAATATTCTAATCCATAAAGCATTGCTGGGGTAATGGTAATTTTATAGAACTTACCTTCAAATTCAATGGTACCATAAAGTCACTAAGTATTGAAGACGCATTCCACCATTTGTTCCACCCCATTCGGATTAGTGTTTTACATCTCTATCAATGTTTCCATTTGCTAAGATGATGAATCCTAAATATTTAAACCTTTTAGATGTGTTTGATTCATGGCAACCACTTTTAACATGTATTATTACTCAACGGTTACTAAAGTTACTAAAGTAACATGTATTTAAACGCTAATTATTGTAATACATTTAGATTTTAGCGGCTGCCTCCCAAGTCTCTAACTTGGCATTTCCACCCTCCCACATCCCATCTATTATAACACTAAGTTATCCACAAATAACATATATTAACACTATGTCATCCGCTCATATCTCATCTATTAACATTATGTCATCCGCAAACAACATACATTCATGTTTTACGATGACAAGCAAATAAAAATAACACTATGTCATCTATTAACACCATGTCATCCACTCATATCTCATCTATTAACACTCTGTCATCCGCAAATAACATACATTCATGTTTTACAATAACAATTAAAAAATAAAAATAAATAAAACTTACAATCAGATGTGTACCCCTAAATCCACTCAAATTGTAATGTAGGGAAAAAAAAACTTACAAAGCGATGGTAATTAGGTAACTAACCATTATGGAAAATAATTTGAGATTGAGTGTATTTCTTTATGATTAATTCATCGTAATTGAGCCAAGAAAATAATAGAAATAACATGCAAAGCATATTACAAACCTGACATTGTCATTGACAAAATGCATTTTTGTTCCTATGACATGCATCATAGTCTTAGAATCAACAAGTATTTTCACGCCTTTATCCTCAACCACCTCATCTAACTTTCCCTTCTCATCTGCAAAAACGAAAGAGTAATAGATTATTACACCTCAAAGAAAGAACCATTAAAAATCGACACAAATTTTGTAATTCGACCTTTCCATGGGTTCTAATTTCTAAAACTATGATCACCCATTCTTTTCCAAGAATTTCCACCTCCTAGACTATCAATGACAATCAATTGTACAAGATTTACTTGTTTTTCTTTATGCCAATTTTGTTCAAGAGAGCAAATTCAGCCTACATCAACTTGTAATCAAAGGTTTTAAATTGGAGTTTAACAAGTGATTATTGTTCCACTGACATGATTTATTTACAATTTAGAAGAGATTTGAAACAAAACCTGCAAGCTCAAAGGAGTACATTAAGCCACTGCAGCCGCGAGGCTTGACTCTAAACCTAAGGAATGTGCGCTGACTTTGCTCCAGCTGGTGACGAATTTTAGAAGCTGCCGCCTCAGTCAATGTGAGAATTTGCTTCCTAAGATGCACAGCCATCCGGTGCTAAAACTGACAATGGCTATGATGATGTAACTAGATAAAATTCATGAATAATTTTTCAATATGCAAATTTTAAGTTGAGGGGCCTAAAAGATCCACATTGAGTTTGAAATAAAAGGTTAATGCATATGTAACTTCACAAACACAAGTTACTGTAAAAAAAATAAAAAATAAAAATTGTGGAAGCATAAATTTCTGTTTATGTCAATCCAATATCGATCCGATGTTAACTATCGAAGAGTTAAAATTCAAACTAAATTAATCAAATTGAACGAAAAATAGAAGCCATCAATAGATCAACAATCAAGGGCACACTTGTTGAAGAAAAAGAAGCACCAAACAGACAGATCGGTACTAGTTAAACTAAAAGATGCATATATATCAGAATATTAAGGCTGGCCACTTTGGACACAAGAACAGATCTCTATGCTACAATCCCTTGGAAGAAGCGAGAAGGGAGGAGGAGATATTTAGGGCTGTAAACGAGCCGAGTCGAGCCCGAGTTTACTTCTGTTCGAACTTGGATCGAGTCAATTTTGGGTGAGCTCAAACTCGACTCGAACTCGATCGAGCCATAAAAATCAAACTCGAACTCGGCTTGACCATATAGAAGGCAGCTTGAATTCGACTCGACGAGCTTTAAACAAGTTGTTCATATCCAATTTTTTCCAGTCTCATTGAGGCATTTTAACAAACACATTCTGCATATACAACCAACATACTATTACCCCTATGCCGTCAACTATCTCACCCAAAATTTACTATCACCCAAAATTTACTAATTGGATTGAAAAAAACAATAGAAGATTTCACAATTAGTAAACTAATGAGATTCAAAATGTCTATAAACTCCAATAATAAGGGATAACGGGCTAGATCTCTTTCAATCTCTCAACAAAAAAGAAAAAACCACAGAAATAACGGTAGTATCGATACCGTTAGTATCGATATGGAAGCGTGGCTTTATTTGATTCAAATTAAAAAAAAATTCAATTTTAATTGTTAAATAATCAATGAACTCAGCCGGATTGGATTGGAGAAGTTTGCAAAATTGATTCTGACTTCGGTGAGAGGAGATAGAGAGATGGAGTGGGATTCAAATGACGCATGAGAGAGGAGGAAATTGGGATCAGATAAAAAAAGACAAAAGAAATAACGGTGTACCGGTGACCACGACGACCCAGATCGTCCCTCCGCCGCAGCTTGATAATTTGAGATGATAAAGATTCAATCTTGAAAGCAATTAATTTGATGGAGTTTTTTTTGTTTTGATTAGGCTCATGGGTAGAATGGGAGAGCTTCCTTCGAGAAAGGATTAATCAAATGGAGGACAGAGAAAGTGAAAAGAGGGTGGGGTCATGGGGTGGTAATATCGGTGGAGGATTTCTTTGGCCTAATTGATGAATTCTAATAAGTATAAAATACAAATATAAAATACATATCGGCTCAGTTAGCTCGACGAGCCACCGAGCAAGGAATAACCGAACTCGAGATCGACTCGTCTCCTTAACAAACTGGCTCGAGATCGACTCGAACTTAATCAACTCGAGTTCGAACCAAGCTTTGTCCAAGCCAGCTCGCAAATAACTCGCGAGCTGCTCGGTTCGTTTATAGCCCTAGATATTATGTTAACCCAACAAATAATAGGAAATGCTAAACATAAATAGATACCTGACTGCTTGGGACAAGACGAATCTCTATCTTACAAACCCTTGGGTGAGAAGCAAGGAGGAAGGGAGAGGTACACATGTAGATGGACGGGGATGAACGAGTGCTTTTTATTGGACCTGAAAGGTTTGTTAAGAACTACGTTGTCGTATCGATACCAGAATGGGCAGCTTCGGTAAGTCAAGGTTTTGTCATGACACAAGGTTTTTTTTAGAATTTTATAAAATTGGAGGATCACTTTGTAATTTTTAAGGCTGGTTGAATCATCATGAAAAATGATAATAAAAGAAAAAGCTTGTCTACGCCAATCGATGAATTATATGAATTCCTAAAGGCGATGGATTTTTGCAGCCACATACTTTAGTACTTAAAACCACTAATTTTTGAAAATTCTTATTTTACCCCTGTCATTTTTTCCAAAGTAGAGAGAGAAAGAAATGAGTTACTCAGAGGTAAAATAAAAATACCGAAAACTCGGACCGAACCGAACAATATACGCGTTCCGGTTGAACTAAGAACGAGCAATATACCCGTTCGAGTTTGAAGAAAAACACGTATAATTCGGTTCGGACACCCAATATACGCGTCCCGGTTGAACCAAGGACGCGCAAGGAACGCGTCCGCCTTCCCGCCCGGACGAGCGAGCCAGGCGTTCGCCTTCACGCCCGAACGAGCGACCCACGCATTCCGGTTAAGGCTTGAACGCATTCCTTGGCCGTCCTTGGTTGAACCGGGATGGGCATCTTGCCCGTTTTGTTTTTTTTTTCGTTTAATTATGTTTTTTTTATTTTTATTTTTATCTTTTTTTTGTCATTATATTATTTTATGATTCTTAGTTAATTATTTGTTTAGTAAGTTAGTTTAGTTTTTAATTAGAGTAGTTTTTTTGAATTAGTTATGTTAGCAATTAATTTAGTAATTAGTTAAATTTAATTTAGTTTGGTTTATTTTAACTCTTTAATTAGGAATTATATTTTTAATTATATATGCGAAATATTATTATATATGCGAATATAATTACATTTAATTATATATGCAAATATAATTAATTATAGTAATTTAAGTTTAGTTATAGGAAATTTAATGTAGTAAGTTAGTTTAGTTTTTAATTAGAGTAGTTTTTTTGAATTAGTTATGTTAGCAATTAATTTAGTAATTAGTTAAATTTAATTTAGTTTGGTTTATTTTAACTCTTTAATTAGGAATTATATTTTTAATTATATATGCGAAATATTATTATATATGCGAATATAATTACATTTAATTATATATGCGAATATAATTAATTATAGTAATTTAAGTTTAGTTATAGGAAATTTAATGTAATATATTTTTTTGATTAGTTAAATATTTGTTTTTTATAATAATTTTGTTTAATGCAGTATGTTTTGTAATTATATATTAAAATTGTATATATATTATTTGTTTAATTGTAAATTATATTTAATTTAGTTTATTATAGTGCAATATTTTTTTTTGTAATTTTATGTTTAAAAAAATTTGCAGGATTCTTAGTTGATTATTTGTTTAGTAAGATAGTTTAATTTTTAATTAGATTATTTTTTTGGAATTAGTTATGTTAACAATAAATTTAGTAATTAGTTAAATTTCATTTAGATTGGTTTATTTTAACTATTTAATTAGGAATTATATTTTTAATTTTTATATGCGAATATATTTAATTATAGTAATTTAAGTTTAGTTATAGGGAAATTTGATTTAATATATTTTTTTATAATAATTTTGTTTAATGTAATTGTATGTTTTTTACTTATTTATTAAAGTTGTGATTTTTGTTTATTTGTTTTTTTAAATAATTGTAAATTATGTTTAATTTAGTTTATTATAGTGCAACATTGTTTTTTTTTTGTAATTTTATGTTTAATTTGCAGGATTCATTCAAAAATTTTGGTGGCGATGGTGAAGATTACAGTGTAGTGTTTGCTAAGAGGAGGAATTTGCAGAAAAGGATGATGCGGTTGATTGGGTGAAAGGCATGGGTTTAGCAAATGGTATGATAATAAATGTAGTTTCTAGCAAGAGAAAAAATGGTGTTTTGATGAAATGTTGTAAAGGTGGAAAGGTAAAGGGGTTACTTGAAGATGGTGAAAAATATGTGTCAACGGATTCGAAGACACAAATCATTAGCTGTAAATTTAAGTTATATGTGCACTCAGTTGGTGGAAAGTGGCTGGTGAGTTTGGAATGCATAACCATTCCATGTTTGACGAAGATCATCCCACGAGGGGCCTTAGCGATGAAGTGAAACAGGTTATACAGGATATGTCTAAAGATGGGTGCAGACCGTGTCAGATAATGGCAGCGATTGAGAGGAAATTTCCAGATGAAAAAGTTAACAGACGGCAAGTCTACAATTACAGGAAGAAATTGCGTAGTCAGGGGTTCCTGGTCTTGGGTGACTCGAGTACCATGGATGTCGCGACGAAGACACTATCGGTGGCGAAGCATCATCGTTACATCATCATGACAGATTGCAATCAGGGGACAGGTGTGCTGACTCGTGTTTTTTTTGCACATCCTGATGCTGTCAATTTATTTTGCACTTATTTTTGGGTCGTCGGGATAGACTCTACATACAAGACGAACAAGTACAAAATGCCGTTGGTTGAGTTTATTGGGATGACACCGTGCAACCAGAACTTCTTGATTGCATACGCCCTCTTGAGTGACGAGACTGGTGAAAGTTATTATTGGGCTTTGAGACAGTTTAGGGATTTGCTTCCTGGTCATCTGTCTCCGGCTGTTATTCTTACTGATTGGGAACCGGGGTTGATGGCGCCGCTGGGTTTGGTTTTTCCATATTCATGCCACTTGTTGTGTGTTTAGCATATTTATGAGAATGTAAAGCGACATCTCAACAAGGAATTGAAATTTGACGCCAAGGTTGCAAATGGTTTTGCATATGGGCTGCGGAAAGATGTTGTGTAATCTAAAAATCAAGATGACTACAATAAAGCTGTTGCTGTAATAAACCGTCATTGGCATAATTTTTCGAGAGCTATTAATTATATCCATAAGACATGGTTAGTGGTTGACTACAAATTCGTCAAGGCATGGACGAATGTTGTGTTTCATATGGGTAACACTATTACAGGTAGGATGGAGAGCGCGCACAAGCAGTTAAAAACTTGGCTGGAAACATCCACTGCGTCGCTGGATACACTTTGTGCTAATGTGCACTTGGAAATTCAGACTCAGCTAACTGAAATACGGTAACTTCTATTCCATTATATTCTATTTATTATATATTTAGTATTTTTTTAGTATTTTTGGCATTTTTCCTAGAATGTTTTACAGTAAGTGGTTACAAAAAATATAATCCTACATTCAGGTACAAACTAGAATACTCGAGACAGAAAATTGGCACCCATTATTGCGGCTTTCCACTGAACCGCTTGAAGTGTCAAGTTTCACATACATGTTTGAAAAAACTGAACACTGAGTGGTCGAAGGCGCAAGAGTGGAAAGAAGAAATGAATGACAAATGTAATCATGTGGTTTACTGGACTTGTCGAATTCCATGTGCGTGCGCCCTCAAAAAGGTTGCAAGATCAATATCTTCATACGAGGTATGAAGAAGGTGACCCAATCCAGTCCCCTGAATCTTGCCTTTCACTACATAATCCATATCCTTATACCTCAACTTTAACTTATTCAGAATCTTTTCACCTTTAAATATCTTCAAGATGGGTCTATGATATCTATGCCAGAAATGATAAGCAATATGCCCAAGAAAGCTAAGAATCACGCTACCATCTTTCGGCCCACCAGGTACTTCATCTGTCACTAGCCATATAGTCGGATCAATTTTATCAGAAACTCTCGACTGGCTGCTACCGCCTGTACCATGAATGAGTAAACCAAATATTATTTATTATATTTTATACACATACAACAATTCAATAAATATAATTAAAAAAATTAATTAAAAATAATTACATAATTTTAAATAATTACAAAAATTAAATATAAATATTTGGTACCTGATGATGCAATAGTGGTAACTGGACGTGTAGATACTCCAGTGGATCCGGACCTCGGGGAGGGCACACGGGATCAATGAGAGGGGGAGGACATGTACATACTCCAGTGGAGACGGGACCTCCGCGAGGGGGCACGGGATCAATGCGGGAGGGGGGGGGGGAAGGGGGGGAGATGCCTTAGCGGGGCGGGAGGGACGAGGCCGACTACCAGTGGATGTACCCTGTGGGAATTGAACAACACTAGGGAAAGAGGGACTATAATGTGGACTGCGCCACTGACCACTAATAGGAGAAGGGATAGGGGTAGAGGGAGAGGGTAAACCTCCAGGACCAGGCCGTGGACAACCAAACAGGGGAGGAGGGTAACTACTAAGATTGTACATAGCACTGTCCTGCACATCATCCTCATCAAACTCATTCTCCTCATCCTCATCCTCCTCTTCCAGGTCGTCCTCAGAATACTCGGGTACATTAATCAGCTGACTAGACTGAGTCTCAAACGGTACACCACCCATATTGACCTGAGTCATTTTCATTCGCTTCTTTAACTCTTTTTCCTCTCTTTTCTTCCGATGACTCATGGTCAGATAACGCGCACGAACTTACGCTTACTAGTATCTTCAGTATCACTAGTATCACTATCATCATCATCATCACAATAAAGCTATAAACAAAATTTTAGTCATCATCATCTTATTTTCCTAGTCTAAACAAATAATTATACAAATTTCCTAAATCCTAAATAGTTTAATAATTAAGTACACTTTGATTAAACATACAATTCATATAACAAAATGATTTTTTACATAATATAAAACTAATTATCATACAATAATTAACTAAACAAATTAATCTATTGTACTTAATTATAAACTAAAATACTTTACAAACTTTTTATTAAATTACAATTAATTATAATTAATCCTAATGAAATTAATCCA